TTAGGTGTATTTGAATATTAGGTGCTTTGAAGATGCTAAACTGGCAGTTTCAGATGTCGTAAAGACTGGCACTCTAATAACACTCACAAACTCTAAATTCATGACAAGGTTAACTGTGTCAGCTTAAGGCAGGGCTTGATTTTATTCTCATGTATTAGTTGCTTTATTGAGGCAAGGAAGGAAGGGCTACCCCTATATTATCCATATAACCAGTTATCAATAATCAATATATTCAATATATATTCATATATGCTTACACAAATCAAGGATTACAGTACTTTATAAATCCACTTGAATCAAAAGGGAAGCTGTGCTGCAAACTGCTTGAAACAGCAAGTTAGGAACCGACCTTTCCCCTAGAAACATCTGTGCACCCCGGACAAAGACATGAATCAGAGAGTCTGGTACAAATTCCCCATCAGAAACAGGCTAAATTAATCCACAGAACAGGAAGAGCAAAACCACAAAATGTCCATGTCCTGTCATAACTAGGGGAAAGGTTAGACTGAGCGTCACTGGGAGCATTGGAAAGCGGAACTGGAACCCAGCGCTTGATCAGTGCTATACCAGTAGCTAGGAGCGTGACAACTGCTTGCTGATTGGCTGATATTTTGCTGACCAAGTTATGAGTCCTTCATGATTGTCTTATGATCTATGATTTGCTGTGATTTGCTCAGGTATAAAGACCCCTGTATTTCTGTCAATCGGGGTCCCAGTTCTTTGGAAGAGATACCAACTGGGTCCTTATTGCCTGGCAATAAACTTCACCTTCTTATTCTCCATTGCTGCGTCTGTCTGATCCTTATCCTTGCAACATTATCAGTTCCTTTCTGCTTTTGATTGCATTATTCTTTTAATCACACTGCAACATGTTTGTAAGTTCCCCCCGCTTATGCCTTGATGGGTTTTCATCATGCATATAATCATCTGAACTCGCACTATTATTTCTCTACTGCCCCTGTATTTAGAACTGTGTTTCACTAAACCTTTGGCACAGTGACATGACAGTTTTGCCTAGTCTTGGTAAGCTTAGCCGAAGTCCAATTTCCTCATATCATCTTAGGGTGGTGGCCAACTGGGTGAAACAGGATTAGTGTTATAAAAAGAACACAGATAATTAAGTAAATACAATTGACAATTGTAAAGGTTATCGTGCTCAAGCTACACATCCTCAGCAACACACAGAGATGTAAACTGCAATATCTAAACAGACTTTGGGGTACAGCTGGGAAAGGCACCTCTGCTTGCATTCTACCTACAAGGCTGCATTTCTGATTCTTTGTATAATTTTTGAAACCCAACCAAACCTCAGAACCTCAGAATCCCATCAGCTTCAACTCAAATAATGTCTGCAATCCTATGCACATTTATTTGGGAACAAATCCCAAATAAATGTACACAACACAGAGATGCTTTGAATAAATCCCTCCTCACTTTGGAAATTAAGGAGAACTTAGAAGATAATGTAGCCAAATCTAAAGTTCTTAAAGTTAAAAGATGCTTACCTGTAGCAGTGTAGTGCTTTCCACTATTATTTTTTAGCACCTTACTCTTCCACTGAATTATTCCAGCATGGAGAAGTGTGCTTGCCAATATCAACAAAAATGAAAATAGTACTATATAATAAACTTTTTCTGAAGGTTTTAGATTCCAGAGAGGGAGAGGCAGTTTTGGTTGTTTATCAAAATGAGAATTTAGTAAGATGGCTCATGTGAGCCATCTAGTGCCAAACATAAAATAGTACAAGGGTGTTTTGTTTTTCTCATTCCAAAGGGTGCATGGGCTCACTGAAACATATCAGGCCAGAAAAGTAGGAAATCATTGTCATAGTAGTCACATTGTTCTGAACTAATAATGACCTAGTTCTGCACCAAACTGTTATGCATGTGAACTGAAGTCATACTTTATCTCTGATCTGAAGAAATGCATAGCATTTCAAACTCTGAATCTTTGATAGGAAAGTTGCACAATTAAGGAAGGAAATGCAATATTGGCTTACACGCACGTAGGCAAGATGTGTTTTGCTTGTTCTTAAAATAAAGCAAGAGACTAGTTTATGTCTCCCTTCTTCATCTTCCTCCTCCCCCTTAGAAATCCATCCACCCACCCCCCCACCCCCCGCAAAAAGAGCCTGGGTTGTTGGGAGGTGTGTGCATCAGCTTTGGATGAATATGGAACCAAAGGGTAGGGTCGCTTTATTGGAGGTAGTCAGTCCTCAGTCCAAGGAAAAGCACACATTTCCCAAAAGAGCCTAGAGCAGATACACACACACCTCTTCAAAGCCTTTCTCTCTATAGAAGTCTGCTGATGTCAAAGTGCTGTCTCCTCTGACTTCCATGGAGGGGTGGGGGGTGGGAATCTGCCCCTCCAAAAATGCCTGCTGGATAAGTTCACCCCTTGCCAAGGAGTGTGTTTTCTCCAATACTTCTCAATGGAGAAGCTGCTTCTCCCCACCGTTTACAGGGATACCTTCTATATTCTGCCCCAAGGAACTTGATGAAGGCAGTGCTGTCTCCATTGACATACATGGGGAAAGAAAGCTAAAGTGAGACTCTGCCTCTGTCTTGAGTCAAAGCGGTCCTTGACTAAAGGGGACTCGCATGAAGCAACTTCCTGTCTGAAACAGTCAGACTCACAACCAGCCTCTACTCCACTCACCCATGTTATAGCTCTGGAAGCAGTGTAGCTCCCCACTTATATAGACCTAGTTAGAGGAGCTGTTGCTACCCAAGAAAAGATACTCTAATATATATTTTTAAAGATAAGTAGCTCTCAGCGCAGTGATAAATGCCATTCTTGGAGGTTTGAGAGGAAGCTGGCAACCCCTGCCCTCCCCATCTTCCAACCCTTTCATAGTGAAAATTGCCCATATGGTAAAGATGCTTGACATGAATTACTACCAGGAAGCACTATTGAGTCTGTGGTATTTTCCTTTATTCAACAGCAGGAAGGGCCTGAAAAGCAAGTAAGAAGGGCACCTGCTTGGATTCAAGTGGATAGTTTAATCTCACTACAGTGGTACCTCGGGTTACATACGCTTCAGGTTACAGACTCCGCTAACCCAGAAATAGTACCTCGGGTTAAGAACTTTGCTTTAGGATGAGAACAGAAATTGTGCTCCGGCAGCACGGCAGCAGGAGGAGGCCCCATTAGCTAAAGTGGTGCTTCAGGTTAAGAACAGTTTCAGGTTAAGAACGGACCTCCGGAACGAATTAAGTACTTAACCCAAGGTACCACTGTATTTAACAGGGTTTTAAAAAAAGACAAATATATCCACATTCATTTTTTATTATTTTACATTAGGTTCAATTTTGAGCCCAGCCTATGTGTATATTATCATTTAAACATTCTAAAGGCAAACATGTATAGGAAAAGCATGATAAAGCATAATCAAAGAGAGAAATAAATAGTCCTATGACTGGTAAAGTCTCATCTGGAATTCACTTCTGGTTGAACATCCCAAAGCCCAAAGGATGTGCATATGTCTGCCACATTCAGTTACGGAGAAAGCTAAAAAATGTGCCTCATTAAAGCCCAGAGCTTTTCCTTCACACAGGCTATGATGGGAAACACATGCTCTTGTGGCCATTTGGATCTAGTGCAGAGGTCCAATGATCTCCAAGAACAAAATGGCTTGCATCAGACTTTTCCACAAAATGGGGCTCAAGACGATGCAGGGAGCAGAAAGTCCATGCGCGTTTCAGGCAAGAATCCAGGCTTCCAAACTGGCAAATTGCTTCTGGTATATGAAAATCCTATCTCTGATATTACTGTTCAAAAAACTTCATCTTGGAATGTTTAATCACAATATACACATACAGTCAATTGAAATGTGCAAATTACAGCTAATAGCACCTAAGCTGCCATCCAAGCAAGAGACACCTGTCATTCAGTAAAATCTGCATGCATTCTATGTGAACAAACTCTTAGGTCTCAATGTGACACATCACCATCTTAGATGAGGTATTCCGTGTGTGACTTCAAAACTGCAGGTTTTGCAACAAAAACAATGTTTGTAAATCTTATAGGGCAGGTGCTACCTTTTATCCCATCAAGTATTAATATAACTAATCCCATTGTATTAAAGGCTGTTCTCAGTTAGCTGAAAGTAAGCCTCAGGCAGTTTTACTTAGCACCAGTGCCTAGACTATGCAGAAGTGACATAGATCCCATCACATTCAGGTTGGAGAGGCAGCACAGGACCCAATTTGTAAGGAAGCAGTTGGGTAGAAGTGGCGCACAGAAGGGCAGGCACAATAATACCAACAAGGCCTGGCGTAAAGGGCCTCTACAGCAATGGTGAAGCTATGTCCCAGTGTGCAGAGGAATTGTGAGGTATTTTAAATTTAAACTTTTACTGGTGTTTAATCCCAGAGGAAGGGACGCGGGTGGCGCTGTGGGTAAAACCTCAGCGCCTAGGACTTGCCGATCGCATGGTCGGTGGTTCGAATCCCCGTGGCGGGGTGCGCTCCCGTCGTTCGGTCCCAGCGCCTGCCAACCTAGCAGTTTGAAAGCACCCCCGGGTGCAAGTAGATAAATAGGGACCGCTTACTAGCGGGAAGGTAAACGGCGTTTCCGTGTGCTGCGCTGGCTCCCGGCCTCTAGAGTGAGATGAGCGCACAACCCTAGAGTCTGTCAAGACTGGCCCGTACGGGCAGGGGTAGTTTACCTTCAATCCCAGAAGATGCGTCAGCTGCTATGAAGAAAAGGGGCGAGCCGAGGGCTGCCCCGACCTTATGTGGCCTCTGGAAGGCCCGCCCCTGCCGCCAGCCGATTGGCTGGCGCTGCAGGGGATGCAAATAGGGGAATCCCTGCTTCCCACGAGGCTGACGCCAGCCTCGCGGGAGTGTGGGCGGGGTCGTGAGCCCGCAACCCCCCTCCTCCTGAAGTTCGGAATGGGCATTCTGGTTTCAATTTGCTCTGAATTGCTGCTGTATTTTTATTGTCCTGTAGTTGTTTTAATTGCTGTTTTAATATATTAAGTTGTTGTTACTTTTCTGTCATACACTGGCTTGGAATGCTACATCAAAGGCTGTATAAAAATCCTTTAAATGAATGTGGCAGGGACCTGTTCAGTGGGAACCCCAAGGCTCAAGTTCTCTGAAGGAAGAGCAAGAAATAAAACGTGGTTTTTTAAAAAAGATAATGTTTTTTCAGGGAACATTCAGATTGTTTCCTCAAGTAGACCTTAAGAAGGGAAACAGGAGAGAAGGAGGTATCTTGATCAGTGCCGTGGGTGAGAGTGTCCAATCCAGACCTGGAAAAGCAGCATGATTTAAAGCACAAAGAGAAAGTAAAGGAAGAGAAAGAGAAAGTAAAGGAGATTAGTCTATGCTGAATTTGGGGAGCCGGGGGAAAAGGAAAGACAAACAGGAATCCTTTATGTACTTTCAAGGGGAATCCTGTCCTTTATGAAAGGTTGATTACCTGCACATGTTTATATCAAACCAGTAATAATACAGTTTAATATGAACAGAAACAGATTCTCTGATCATAATGAACATTCATTTGCTTCAAGTCACATGAAGACTGGCATCTTCAATATTTTCAAATAAATAAGGTTTTAAAATTCACACTGGTGCACAAAAAGAGGACTTAACATTTCTCTGTCATGTGGATTAAAAAGTGCTAGCAGTTACAATTACAAGACCCATCTGCAAACAGGCTTAGAGCATTTACCGCGCATCAATGCTGTACATAAGGTGAGGAAAAGCGTCTTGAGTTTCATGGTGTCTGAAAGGTGGGAGAGAGTCCTAATAAGTTTCACAAAACTTGTGTAAGGGTTGCAGCTGTTGTCCTCACACTGAATTACTAATTTGAGACACATGGACTTCAAGAGGGTTTTCAAAGGGGTACTTGTCGGCTGATTGTGCCACAGCAGAACAAAAAAAAATGCAATTCAACAGAGAGGACTGGAAAAATTAGAAGGAGCTTGTAAGCAATCTTGTCATCTTGGCTCTTCATAATTCACTGTGTGTGTTTAATCCCGAAAGATGCCACAGCTACCTCATTTCTAAGACCGCCTCTCCCCTATTTCTGGCTGGAAATTTAATCAAAGAAATAAGCTTGATCAAAGGAGGAAAATGGCCCTGTGAAAACGGGGTTAAAATTATAGATCAGTGCGTTGGTCTCCTCACTTTTGTTGGGAAAACGGTGGTTGCTCTTCCGGGCTGCAAAACATTGGAGAAATAAGGATTACGTCTATGTTATCAATTGTGAAAGAACAAATTTTGTCAAATGCACTTTAGCAATCCTAGACTAAATGTAAGACTTGGGTCACACAGGGAATTAATGGTCTCCTCAGAGGCACTTGCGGGAAGTGCCAGCCACGCACAGGGGTCCCTCTCTCTTAGAAGACAGCAAAAAATCCCCCCCCCCTACTTTTAAGCGCCAATTCTGCTACACAAATGCACACAGGATGTATGTTCTGCTGAAATCAACCTTAAGAAATTAGTCTAGAAATTAGTCCGGGTTTTCCCAGACATTTTTACCAATTTTCAGAAATTCCGCCCCGACATTCTTTTCAATGGACAAATCCTGGATATGTCCGGAAATCTTGGATCTATGGCAACCCTAAGCTAGTGTAGTCCTCTTGACACCAATGATATTGGGATGGAACAAGCAGTTTGAGTACTGCAGCTTCCAATAACCAGCCATCCAGACCAATTCTTCAGTATTTATTAACTTGAATGGCCACTCTATAACATGTTCTGTGGGTAGCTCACAAAGTTTGAAGAGTAAAACATAATTGAAAACAATGAAAGCAGCAATTTTTTTTGTTCTTTTTCTGGCCTATATATAGTAAAACACAAATCGTAAAGACTAAGAGGCATTGTAAACACTCAAGTTGGATAAAAAGGCCTGGGTAATTAAAAGAAAGAGATGGTAAGGATGGCACCAAGCAAGCTTTTCTGGGGATGTTGTTCTAAAACCAGCATGTCAAGAGCAAGACAACCCTAGATGCCTGCCTTACTTTACTACTAATCTCAAAAATTCTACAGTTCCTTTGACTAGGTCTCTCTGCTCAATGGTTAAGATCAAAACATTAAGGACTGCATTCAGTGAAGTTCTGTTGGTGCAAGGAAACCCGTCTGTGCAACAGAACTTACCTGCTCAGTCTCCAAACCCTCCCCACTTTGCCTAAGCTGATCTGGGGTTCCCCCGACCAGGTAGAGGGAAGAGAAAGTCCAGCGAGCAAGTGGAGAACAGGACTTCATGGGATACGACTCTAATATTGACCCCCGCATTGTGTGGATAAAAGCTGGCACTGTTTTGTCTAATTTTTCTTTAATCAGAATATGTGGTTGCACTGCCACTAACTATTCCAATTTATATTTTCACGGTTTAGCTGTAAGAAAAAGCTGCCACTCAACATACAAGCGTTTCTCCTTTCAGGTGAAATTTCACAACTGCCATCTAAAAACTTTTAATACCTTCACTGACTAAGAAGTCAGCAATGTAGTATGTGACTTTTACAGCTGCCTTGGAATGTGGAATGCCTGTTGAGTTCTTCCATTCATATGGGTTTTTTTCGGGATGCCATTGGACGCCATACACAGGGTATCTGTGAGCTGGAAAATAACCAATTGGTTTCCATCAACTTATGCACATAAGACAAGAAGTTTCTCTTAAAAGTTTGGATGCAGGATTTATAGTTCTAACCAAGATTATAAAGGAATTTCACACAAAATATTACCATTAACAACAAGCATTTAAATAGAGCTTGGGTTGCGTCCAAAACACTTCATGGACATTATCCTTGCATGCTTCCCAAGACAGATGGATGCCGACCAACAACCTTACAAACTCCAAGGTAGGTCAGGGCTATTACCTCCATTTTGCAGGTGGGGGCACTGAGACAGAATGGCTAGCCACTCAGTGAGTTTGGTGTGGAAGAGGCAATATTCAGGCCCAGAGGGAGAGAAGAGGGGTGGAAGGGTAGAACTGATGGAGCAATGAAAGGAGGAGTAGGAGGAAAGTCCTCTGTAAGCCGCCAGTTCATATCTCTGGCAAGAGTAACGTGTCACACACATAGACACACCCCAGCAACCCACTGGGCTAGGAGGAGGAGAGGCGTAGCCCCACTCACTACCAGCACCAGTCCTGCCCACCATCCTGCAGCCCCCCGCCCCAGGAATGCTGCCCTCATCAGAAAAGGCTTCTGCACTTCTGATTTACATTACCTTCCATGGTAGATATGAAGTCCACGTTGTTATGAACATTAGTTGTTAAGATCTTATAGAAGTTGCGCAACTTCTCATTATTTGTAAAATTCTGTAAGAGAAAGGTTTTTTATTTATATTACAAAATATTCTTTTGGATGGGGCACTTTTATCCTTCTACTAATCCCTCTCCTATTAACAGGTGCGTCTGTCCTGCTGCTACTATTTACACCTTATCTCTCACACCTTAGCATGTTGCTTTGTGAGGTCATAGCTGTAGAAGGCAGTTTGGTACATTTTAAATTAATGTTTTACATGCAAACTTTAAAAGTACCTGCACAGAAAGGCTCCAGAAGTGGAAGTTTGATGTCAAGGGTTCAGAAGCCATCTGTTGCAACAAATCAGCAGGAAAATCCTGGAATATTCCACTGTTTTTGGCATCTTATACCAAAAATAAAAAAAAGGCAAGAAGAGTTAACATTACTACCTGCAGTGTGCCCACTTGTTTAAAGCATGCCTGATCTGCAAGAGCTCAGGTGGTGCTTAGAAAAACTGAACTGATGTCAAATGTATCCTTTGGGGGTACCTTCCAACTCTACAATTCTATGGTTCTATGATACTGGTGTTTATTTTGTCAGTCTGCATTTCTTAGTGCAGAAAGCATTGATGTAATTTGTAGATATCTTTCCTATTCTACTTAATTCAAGAGGGTCCTGGAAGCTTCTGTGTGAAAGAAACAAGCAGAAGGTTCATGATGATCCTTCAGAGACGGTACAGCTGGCTTAAAATGGTTCTGTTATCTCTTCCGTCAAGGTCATGCTGACTATAAAAATAGGCCAGAGGGAAGCGTGGGTTTTGCTTTTCTCTTTCTTTCTCTTTTCCTGGTGTGGTGTTCTGTATGGAGTTATTGTAAGTTTAAGTTAAGTCTGCCACAACTGGATTTCTTACGGACAGTGCCAATTCTGAATGTATTGGATTTGTGACCATTATGCTCATTTGCCTTCAGTAGCAGTAAAACTCTGTTGGATGAAATATTAATTGCATCTGTTCTATTTTTTAGGAATCCTGCAACATTTTAAAGTTTTTACTCTGCTGACTATAAATTGGAATCTACTCTGGATCAATACTGAGAAAAATTTCCACGACATATTTTGCTCTAGGAGGCTTAGTTTGGTCAGTATCAAGTAAACGTCCAGAGTTTCTGCAAAATTATATTGCTTTTGTTAAATGAGCCACCATAGCTGCTAGCTAGAGGGCCATGAAAATTTGTGTCCTGGGCTTTTTATACTTGTCTACCCATCTACTGTCTGGAACCAAAGTGGTACATTTGTTGCCAGATGTGAAATATTTTGACATTATTTTCAACTCTCCCTCCCCACTACATAGAACCCTTTATCAAAGTGTAAATCATAAAACAAACTTCATGGGGAAAAAAACCTCTTTAAACATTGTGTTGAACCAAAGGTGAATTGTTCCAGAAACTTTGCTAACTCCATCTTGGTAGTCAAGATAACACCACAATTAATTGGCTGTTGTTGCGGCAACAAACTCATACAATCAAACCTCGGATCGCGAACACCTCTGTTTTGGAACGTTACAGCTCCCGAATGCCGAAAACCCAGAAGTAAATGCTCCAGTTTTCGAAGAATTTCGGAAGCCGAACGTCTGACGCAGCTTCTGCTTGAGTTCAGGAAGCTCCTGCAACCAATTGGAAGCCGTGCCTCGGTTGTCAAACATTTCGGAAGCTGAACGTGCTTCCGGAACGGATAACATTCGACAACGGAGGTTTGACTGTATATGTTTACATTCACTTGCTTTGATATAAGCTAGATGTTATCCTCATCTGTAGGCCTGGGATGCTGGGCTCTGAGCCCAGAACGGGGAGCTGTCTGTAAGGTTTGGGCATTTGCCACCTTTGCCCTCACCTGGGCAGGTGAAGCAGTGGAAGTCGTAGGAAAAGGGACGTATGCTGCTTTGTTTATAAATTATGAATGTTTGCTTGGGCACAGACAAGTCATCTCCTTGCTGCAGAGTCCATCCTGCATCTGCAAAGGCTAGGAGAACTGGCAGGCTGATTTGCTGTAAGTCTACACCTTCTCTAGTAAAGCACTAGAACTGATCACTCCAGCATTTTTGGCATCGTCCTTTGGTACACCTGCACCCAACCACTCCCATGAGCCCTCCTTTGTGCCAGTGGTTCAGGGCAAGCATCCCTTGTTGTTTGTTTAATACAAAGCAAATGCTACCCAATCTGCTAAATACTGTATTCAGAGTCATATTCTGGGTCATATTCACTTTAGTGGAATGCATTATGACGCATAGATTCAGGATTAACTCAACAAGATGACAAGCCACCTATTAATTGCTGGAAGAAGAGCCACACCAGGATTTGGCTTAGGACCTTTCAATGACACAGACTCTTATCTAAGAACATCAGCCCAGCTTGTTTTCCTGCATTGGCCAATCAGATGCCTCTGGGAATCCCACAAGCAGGGCATTGAGGGCAACAGCTATTGTTCCCCAGGAACAGGAATTCAGAGGCACGCTTGCTCCAAACCTGGAGGTGGCACAGCATATAGTCATCAGGGCCAGCAGCCATTTCCTTATTAACACAGTGCAATCCAGCATCAGCCATACTGTATCCCATTTGCAGTTAATGGAGGTGGGTTAACCATGCTGCACTGCTGCAAGGAAAGAGCTGTGTTTATTTTAGTAGCAGGAAGGGTATCCTACTGGGCACCAGGACAGAGGAGAACCACCACTCAGGCTTCAAATAAACACAGGCTGAAAAACAGTGGGGAATGCTCAGCATCTAAATGTAGTTGTTTAAGGCAATTAAAAACAGTAAGGCTTTTCAGAAATCCATAATCATTCCTCTAACCACTGACAGCATTACAGGCACTGTCCACAACACTTGCGCCCTCATGTTCCCCTTGCGCTTTGCAATGCTCAGAACTGTAATAGAAGCACCACTTTTCAGTGGGGGGGGGGGTTGCAATGTGAAGGTTAGAAAAAAAGCAATATTCCTAACTTAAAATGCAAGAGCTTAAGGGCGTTCCTTTTGTGGTCAACATGTAGGAACCATGGGTTTAACCATACCAAAAATGTTCTGGAAAAACCCTCACTGACTGCTAATTTCCTGCTTTGCACAATGATTGCTGACTTCCTGCTTTGAAGAAATGCGATCCACCCGCTATGTAACATCATAGGTCAGTGCTAACAAAAGTGGTGCTGCCATGTGAAAATTAAATATTTGGACATTTTGCTTATAACCAGATACAGGTCTGATCTGTAGCATTCCAGATAAAGAGTCCCCCCCCTCCCAGTTCACTGTAATTTTCAAACAGAGGCTCAAGAAGTAACAGCATCCCACACATTATGAAACTCTTAATTTCCACTGCTGCTCTAAACAGCTAGCAAGTGTCATCATTAGCTCTAAGGAGACAGAGCCATTACAGTGGTACCTCGCAAGATGAATGCCTCACAAGACAAAAAACTCGCTAGACGAAAGGGTTTTTGGTTTTTTGAGCTGCTTTGCAAGACGATTTTCCCTATGGGCTTGCTTCGCAAGACGGAAACGTCTTGCAAGTTTGTTTCCTTTTTCTTAACACCGTTAATACGGTTGCGACTTGACTTCGAGGAGCAACTCATAGAACGCGGTGTGGTAGCCTTTTTTTAGGTTTTTGAAGACTTTGGTGATTTTTGAAGCTTTTCCAAAACTTTCCCGAAACCGTGCTTCGCAAGACGAAAAAAATCGCAAGACGAAAAAACTCGCGGAACGAATTAATTTCGTCTTGCGAGGCACCACTGTACTCTGGTGTTGGGGCCATCAGTGGCTCCATCCCAGCAGTGGAGAACTTGTGGCCTTTCAAGTGTTGTCAAACTCCCACCAGCCCCAGACACCATGTCTAACAGCCAAAAATTATGGGAGCTGTAGTTCAGCAACATCCAGAAGGCCACAAGTTCTCAACCCTTTTCCCAAAGGGACTCTTTCACCAGACCCTGTATTCTACTATTGATCTCCAGCGCAGCACAGTATCAGGCTTCTCAAACTTATGAGACGGAAGACTAAACATCTCCAGGACCTCAGAGCTCAATGCATTCTCAAAGTCATTATTTCACTTTGACTTGCAGAATTTATTATCACCGCCCCCCCCCCCCGTCATAAGTCTTCTGTGAACTGAAACTCTTGAGTTTTTACCTGGAGTAAAGTTCAGCGGCAATGCAAAGCCATCCGTATTAGTCCAGGTGAGCAGGTCTTCCCCGCAAGTGAGGACACTAAGCAGCTGGTGTCCCAGGCATGTCCCCCACACAGGAAAATAGTCCCCTCTATCATTAGCCTGGAAACAACAATAAGGGGGAGAAATCAATAGCTACAGATCCTAGACATTTATATTCCCCATTATTTAACTACCTAGGAAGATAGCAGGATAGTTCCTTAGATTTCCTAATGTGCCCCCAGGTCTCAAAGAGGTTGGGGACTCCCCATACATCACCAGGATAGAAACTGGGGCAGCTCAGTTGGTAGAGCATGAGGCGCTTAATCTCAAGGTTGTGGGTTCAAGCCTACGTTGTGCAAAAGATTCCGGCATTGCAGGGGGTTGGACTAGATGACCCTTGAGGTCCCTTCCAACTTTATGATTTATTTACATCTTACAGCCTAGTCCCAAAATCATGTACATAAAGATAAGGCAGAGTTGTATGACTGCCCACATGCCAGCTAGAAAGGTGTGAAAATAAGAGGCACCAACAACTGTCATTCCTCAACATTGCCAACGCCCCAGTGCAGAAATATTGGCATGCTCCAATATTTACCTCTAGTGCTTTATTGTAGAATATCTTTGCAACTCTGGCAAATTCAGAAGTCTCAAGGCTAACACTACCTCCGGGATAGAGAATCCTAAGCAAACAAAATGACAACACTTTTGTCAGCAGCAATGAACTGCCGATTGGTCACACAAAGGTAACATGGATAAACCTGGATTGTAATCACGGAAGGATCTGCAATACAATCTTTAAAGAAAAAGTGACATACTCAAGTACTATAAGGAAGGGTTGTTCAGACAGTCATCATGGAACATGGTGGGAGGAGCAGGAAGATAGTAGTTGGAAATAAAAACCTCAAGTGGTAAAGGTAAAGGACCCCTGACAGTTAAGTCCAGTCGCGAATGACTCTGGGGTTGCGGCGCTCATCTTGCTTTACTGGCAGAGGGAGTCAACGTTTGTCCACAGACAGTTTTTCCTGGCCAAGTGGCCAGCATGACTAAGCTGCTTCTGGTGAAACCAGAGCAGCGCACGGAAACACCATTTACCCTTCTGCCGGAGCGGTACCTATTTATCTACTTGCACTTTGATGTGCTTTCAAACTGCTAGGTTGGCAGGAGCTGGGACCGAGCAAGGGGAGCTCACCCCATTGTGGGGATTTGAACCGCCAACCTTCTGACCGGCAAGCCCTAAGCTCAGTGGTTTACACCACAGTGATGCGAACTCCATTACTGCATGAGCATTTTTCCATAACCACATATGTTTTTCAAATGGTTGTTACCTGTCATGAGATCACCGATGATGAAAGGTTGTTGGAAATTGTGTAAATAAAAAATAAAAATCAAGTGGCTAGCAGCTGTGAAAGCCAAATCAGCTCAAATAAATTTGTGTGGAATATGTAGGCAAATGTATATGCTGTGCCTGCCACAATAAAGATTTGTTCTGTTTGTTTTCATTTCAGCTGGTCTCTTATTCTGGTACTGACAGCCCCACATTTCTGCTAGGTTATAGAATACACAGAATTATCACCAAGCAGAGCACAAAAAAGCCACCATTACAGACACTATTATCAGTACACTATTATTGTGACATCTTTTTCATTATCTATTAACTTCTGTAACACTTTGCATATGGCAATGTACTTTACAAACCTTATCATCTTCCCAACAGCCTTTCAAGGTAAACTGCTGAGCAACTGACACCCAATGAGATTCAAGGCCTGATAGAAATTGGAACCTAAGTCTCTGATATCGTCTCAGTTGCCTTCCTTCCACTTCACTGCTCTTCACTTTTACTACCAGTAACAACAAAACAGATGTTCATTAGGACGCTTACCCATTGATAGAACTGAAAATCTTATCATATTCTTCATCTGAACGATTCAGTCTGGAGGAATTAAAATGAAATGAAAAGTTGCATTAGAAATGTATAGCTTCCCTGCATCAGTTCAGAATAGTTTTTAGTACAGTAACTAAAAGGTTAACGCCAATTTCCTGTGCTACAATTTAAATTCATGTTAAGTCAGTCCCTAGTGCAGACTTCCTGGAAAGTGTCATTAATGAGTCACATCTATGTCCTCTAAGCACCTCAAGACAGCTTACACATTTCCCCTAATCTTCACAACAACTTTGCAAAGTAGGTTAAGGTGACAGGTTGTGACTGGTCACCAGGTGAACTTCATGGCTAAGTAGAATTTTGAACCTGGATCTTTCCAGTCCTAGTCTGACTCTTGAACCGCTACAATGCAATTGCTTCACAAATACCCCCATACTGAAGAGTGCTAATCTGCTTCTACCCTAAAGACTGTCAAATATCGTCCTGAGAAAATTCTACTTTGCACTGCAGCATGTGAGCACATTATTCACACAAGCTTACCTGATTGGTACTACCCGGGCTCCAGCAGATTCAATAAACTTCACATACGAAGCCCCAATGTAAGAACTTCCATATTTTTGGAAGCTTTTAAAGTCAGTTTCCTGTGCTAATATTCCTAGAAAGATCCAGAGGAAAAAGTTAGGCATCAGCGAGGTCACAGGAAAAACTGAGATGCCGCTGATAAACTAGCAGTAGGTGGGGTGTGATGATTAATTTAATATTATCTATATTTGAATGCAAGAAAGAACATGGTGTCCAATATAACATCACAATGACAATCCAGCAGCAGCAGCAGCGGGGTAATTACTTGTTCAGATGGTGTTAAACACAACTATATTTAAGATTGGTTTGCATGTTACTCATTTTATACTCAGAAAGCATTTATGTGAAAGCAAAGTGAAAGCAGGAGTAGATTCCTTTTGTAAATTCCTTTGGGGGGGTTGTTTTTGTTTTTTACAAGCAAACAGTATTGAAATGATATGATATAAATAAATTACATACATGAAAATTGCATGTATGTCTCTACGTGTTTGAGGAAGTACACCCTGAAAATCTGTGATAATCAGACATGACTGTCTACAAATGGATTTCATGCTACGCTTAAATACTTTCTATATGAAATATGGAATAGCCTGTAAGTCAAAGGTCTGCTATATTATCATGAAAGCAAATTTTTCACACCATATTTTAAAGTACCTGCATTATCCTTTTTAAACTGACTTGTTGAAATACAATACACTTTTGACCCCTTGAGTGCTTCACAATTTGACGCACACAGCTGAATGCTTAGATCCAGACAACAGACTAGTTCCAGCAAGCACCCTATCACACTCTCTATATCAGAAATATGTTGTTGTTTTTAACGAATTTAGAACCAGCTTTCTGAAAGTTCACAACCCAGGCACAGCAGAACATGATACAAGTAAGTTAAGCAATACTGTCACAAGACCCATTGCACCGCAATTGGGGGGGGGAGGTTGAGGCATTCCAGGTTGCCAGCTCATCAACTTGGTGTTGAACAAGCACTTCTTCCTTCTGGAATCGAACAACAAAATGAGGAGGAGGAGGAGGTGGTGGTGGTGTGTGTGTGTTTAACAGAAACCTTAGAACGAGGAACTTTATAAATTTATGGGTAGTCACACTCTCTCCAAAAATCACTGTTACTGACATAGTTTCCATCAGGGAGTATAGAACAGGGATGGGCAGGCTTAAAGTTTGTTAGATCTACTTTGCTTTTTGCTAGAATCCCTATATATACCACAGAGAAGATCTGCCCCTAAAGTCAGGCACAGAAGACCTGAATGAGTGTTCAGGGTGCCTCCAGTAACATTTTAAGCCCAGGAATTTGTTCTAAGTACCAGAACTGAACTGAGTTCACAGTCCTTTTGCACAGTCCTTTTACACCCGATTAGCTTCCTACTTTTCAGCAAAAGTCAATCTGTTGCTCTTGTAAAACAACTGAGGAGTCAGAATCCTTACCAATCTACTTACTGCAAATCTTCTGGATATCTGCTACATACCCTCTGCCAACAATCCATCACAAATCAAAATAAATAAAAGTCACTAAAAGGTGGATTTTCAACACACAGACTTTGCTTAGTCCAAAACATCTGGAGGACAGCCAATTGATAAAGGTCTCATTAAAGATAGTGAGCCTCTTTCATAAATGGCATTCTTAGTGTTGTTTCAAGATTTCTACAGAGGTACATTTCCCCCAGTAACAGGTGATGTCTGGGTGAATGTATTGTCTTTCACTACTTGCACAGATAGGCTAAAATCATTATTACATCAATCCAAATATTTTGAAGACTAGGATCATAACCCTGTGCAATTTCTCTAGCAGCTGCTGCTAATGAATTCACTGGGGTGGCTTACTTCCAAGTAAACATACCTATAGGAGCAGGCTGTCAACCACGGGTACACATGAATTCTTGTACCCCTTGAAATGAAGATGCTGGAAATGGCAAGAAAAATCAAAAAAGTATTCTAGAAGCTACAGTTGCCCCAGACACCTGGAAGATGCCATGTTTGCTTGCTTGTTTTAATCTACCAGCAACACCGTCTCGCCAGTGACAGGTGAATACTGATTGATCTCGAACCAACTGCGACAAGACGGCACCTTGCGGATCTTCCTACTCAAGCCTAGGTCATTTGCTTGGAAAGTAGCACTGCATTTAAGAGCCGGGATTCGTGGAAGACTTCATCCGAAACAACTGGGGTGATAAGAATCAAGTGCGAAAGAGCCACCTGGTCTCAAAAATAATCCCCTTGGGTGATCCCAGTGCAAGCATAACATTGTTATTTTTTAAAAGCAGAAGTTGGATGCTCATCTGTCATTCATACTTTAGTTGGTCCCTTCCAACTCTACAATTCTATGATTTAAAGGTGCTCGACCCACCGAGCTAAAGGAGGGAGGGGAGACTTTTTGCATTTCTTTTATTTCCCTCTCTCTCTCTCTCTCTCTCTCTCTCCTCTTGCCCTCGTCCACGTTCCCTGGCAACAGGACTCTTTCTCTGGCTCTTTGGAGAATCCCGGGGATCCCCCCTTACAAGCGCAGAGCGCGGCGACTCACCGATGATGGGTCTCTCGTTGATGATGGCTTTCTCGTTCGCGCCCTGCAGCGAGAAGGGCAGCGCGGCGCTGCAGAAGAGGCCCAGGAGGCAGCAGGCGCTCAGCGCGCGCCCGAGTCCCGCCCAGCTCGCCATGTCCCCCCGCAGCATTCGGCGACCTAAGCCAGGCTCCGCGCGCGACGCTCTTCTTATGGCGCGCGCCTCTGCCGAACGCTCACCCCCGGCGCCGAGCGGCTTTGCAACGCCGTCCAATCAGGGCGAACCTCGGCTGGGCGGCCGCGGCATTCTGGGAAATGTAGTCCTCGGACAGCCGCGGCATTCTGAGAAGGCGCGCTTCTTCGCCGCTGCGCCTTTTCTTCCTCGTTCCTTCTTTGCCGGCAACGCAAAAAGAGGCGGAGGAGGAAGAGCTGCTGGAAATGCCTGCGTGAGCATCGGTGCGCGCGGGAAATTTAGGCCGGGTGGGGTTGTTGGAGTAAATATGTAAATATTGCCATGTCGTAAGCCGCCTCGAGCATGGTTTTTAACTAATGAAAGGCAGCATGCAAATAACGATGATATCAAGGGAGGTTTCTAGGCAGCCAGTAAGAAAATCACGTAGGAATAAAGGGCAGTTCTGCCCAACAAACTTCCATGACATTTATTTGGCTTAGTACGACAGCCTAGCAAACTGTCCATTGTATCATAAATGGTGCAGCACACCTATAACGAATGATGAATTTTAATAATCACCATTTGGGTGTGTCGATGTTTATTCATATTTAGAAATAGTTCCTTGAGGACATAGTAGCGCTGCTGTTTTCGGTGGAAGCAGTGTGTTCGATTTGTGTTTGGACTGTATAGTGTACAGGGAGAATCAATAAATGGACTGTTCCTCCAATAGAAGGACATAAGATGTAATATCCACCTAGACCTGTATTGGAGCTGATGCTTCTTCACTTGTTCATAAATGATATGGGATCAAGGGAAGCGGCGTGGGAACCAAGTTTGCTTAACTCAGCACTGTAAAAAATGGGGACTGTAAAGAGCTCCAAAAGGGTAACTCCAAACTGAGTGAATGAGCAATAAAATGCCAAGTGAAGCTCAGTGTAAGTGTAAAATGACACAATGGGGCAAAAAAATCACATGTATGCTTATGGGGTCTGAGCTGGTGGAGACTGAGCAGGAAAAAGACCTTGAGGTTGTGTTGCATAGCTGATCAAAACTTTTAATATGGTAGGTGTGAAAATGCACATTCCATGTTGGGCGTCATTAGGAAAGAAATTTAAAATAAGGCTGGCAATATTATATTACCTTTATACAAATCCATGGGGTGAACACACTTGGGAGTACTATGCAGAATTCCAGTTGTTGCATCTCAAAAAAATACATTGCAGAGTCAGAAAGTTCAGAAAATGGCAGCCAAAACTAGCAGGGGTTCATAATGCTAGAAACCAGAGTCATCCAGTGAAACCGAATCAGGAAGAAAGTCATCCTTCACACAGTGTATTCTTCATTACAAGGCATGTTGTTGCCGCCTATGAACTTAAATGATTTTAAAGGGGAATTCGACAAATCCATGGAGGAAAAGGTTATTGCTGACTACAAGTCATAATGGATATATGTTGTTTGCAGTATCAGATACAGTATATCTCTGAATACTAGTTGCTGGGGAATAGCAGCAGAAGAGGGCTATTGCTTTTGGGCACTGCTGATGGGCTGAGGGTGGGTGGGAATCGGACAATACCAGTAGCCCACATCCCTAATTCACCCAACCCCTGCAGGCCAACTTTGATAAATGGGCTGGCTAACCACCTGTCAGTCACCAGCTGTGATAATAACATCAGATTATTGACACTCATAAAAGTTTTAGAGTGGCAGCTACAGCAACCTCCTCTGAAGATGCACATTCAGCAACCATCAGCTGACTGGGCGCTGGGAGCTTGCCTTGTAATGGGCTTGCTGCCACTGCTGATCAGCTGATAGGCAGTTACAGAGAGTTCCTTTGAAATGTTTCTGGAGGAAGCATTTTGAGTGTAAATAGCTTCCTATGCATGGGATGCGGGTGGCACTGTGGGATAAACCACAGAGCCTAGGGCTTGCTGATCAGAAGGTCAGTGGTTCAAATCCCCGCGGCGGGGTGAGCTCCTGTTGCTCAGTCCCTGCTCCTGCCAACCTAGCAGTTTGAAAGCACGAAGTGCAAGTAGATAAATAGGTACCGCTCCAGTGGGAAGGTAAACGGCATTTCTGTGCACTGCTCTGATTCACCAGAAGTAGCTAGCTAAGTCATGCTAGCCACATGACCCAAAAGCTGTAAGCCGGCTCCCTCGGCCAGTAAAGTGAGATGAGCGCCGCAACCCCAGAGTCGTCCACGACTGGACCTAACGGTCAGGGGTCCCTTTACCTTTACCTTCCTATGCAGTAGAAAAACTGCTCCGTTTAAATGGAACATCCCCCATGCAGACAAAAACATGCTGCTTGGTGGAAGTACTTTGAATGCAAAGCACTTCCTCCAGCCCTATTAACATAGTTTGTCTTCAAATTTTGACTGCTTAATGAACTACTCTTAGTGTAGAATGAACAGAAATAGACTGTCGTGAAATAATATTTAGTATTGCAATAAAAGCAAGTGGTGTTGAGAAAAAAATACACACTCACAAATGATGGGACAGCTTGGCTCATTTATAATGTTTAATTTTATATGTACAAAATTAGGGAAAAAATACAGCATATAACAAATTGTATCTGCTAACATGTTGCTGGTTGGGTTGTTTTTTTTAGGCACACTTGGTACAATTAGAGTTCCTTTATCATTTCTAAATTACATGATTTCTTCCTTTCTGTTCTGCTGATGTCATGCTACCCTATAGGATTCTAAAACTGCTGGATAAAATATAAATTAGACATCTGAAAATTAAATATCTTTCCCATTAATAAATAATTTGCTCAGTAACTGTTAATAGAACGTTGGCAAATGCTTAAGTATTTATCACATGTAACATAGAGTATTGTGACACTTTTATTAAAGACTAATTTTTTAGACTGCAATCCAGTCACTCATTGGGGGTGACTTTTAAGCAGAGATGCATATGATTGTCCTGTTATTGCAGAATAAGCTTTCTGAGCCCAAAGCCCATTTTGTCAGATGCATGGCATGGTAAGAGGTTTAGGTAGACAGAGAAAGCTGTAGATCTGTCACAGTAGTTTGTGGGTAATTCACACAAAATCCAATGAAATAAGAAAAGTTTATACATCCTGAGGACCTAAAGCTATTGTAGTTGCCACAGAACCATCAGAATAGGCTCATTGCCTTGTGCTGGGAAGTGACAGCATGATAGAGCTTTCCTTTTTGCTTTGCAGAAAACACTGTTGTAGCAAAACTGTTTCATATTAGCAGGTATTCACATCTTTTCAGGGTGCTGGTCCAAGAGGATAAGCAATCAGGGCTTACCCAACTAGGGAATTAATAAATATGTAACAGCTAAAATGTGGCTTTTCCCATTAGTGCACTATGCTACCAACCCCTCTCCAGCAGCGGTAGCTAAGTTTTTCACAGATAATCCACCTCTCCCCATAAAATAATTTCAAGAAATGATAATCTTCTGAAAGCAAACAGTAAGGCTAAAAAGTGTGTCTAAGCACAATCACTATTCTAAGGACTATGCTACAGTTGGTGCATATTATTTTATGTATTTACTTGTTAGCCCCTTGCCAGCTTGTACATTGAAAGAATAAGTAAAACCTGCAATCCTATTCACTTACTTGAGAGTAAATTCCAGTAAACCCAGTTGCAATTACTTCGGAGTAGACAGAAGGCTCAGAAAAAACTTCACTGAATATAACAAAGATTAATTTTATGTAAACATAAGCTTAGCCTGCAAATATATCTAAATTACTAGCTATTGTTGTATAAAAAGTTTGATCCCTCTCCAGTATCCCAAAGGCACCATAATTAAAAGTAGGTTCATGATTCATAATAAGACAACTTTGTGTATGATGGATTATTTTATGGCTATTATTCATAACAGCTGAAGTCAGCTTCCGTATTTAGAGGCACCATATTTCTGAATACCAGATACTAAGGCAAGAAACTGAAAATGGCTACTTCCACTTTGCCACACATGCCAGCTTCTAAAGGGCATCTAGTTGGCCACTAGGAAGAACAGTGGGGTAGATGAGCCTTTGATCTGATCTTAGGCTGTTCTTATGTTTGTTTTAATCGTACATCCAGCAGGCAATTCAATTAACATATAAGAAGCTGCAAAGTGCCTTCTAGTGGAAATATTCCCCTTCCTGTAAAATGGACGGGGAGCCTGTGCCCTTCAGACATTACTGGAATAAAACTCCCATCATCCCTGGCCAGTGGCCGGGCTTGCTGGGGCAAACAGAAGCTAGAGTCCAGCAACATCTAGAGGACCCACACATTCACCACCCTTGTTGTAAAATTTCCATTTTACTTGTTCTCTTCCTTGCCTTAAGAAAGAATGCAGCAGATAAGGCATGTATTCTCCAGAAATATTATTCAGATATCAAAACATTTGACATTGGTCTAACAGCAATTTCACATTTATCTAAGTCAAGTCTGCATATGTAGTTGTTTGTTTCACTAACTTCTGTAGTCTGAGCCAACCTCAACCCCCATTTAAATCTTCTGTAAATCACATTGAAGCTATCATTGTCATCGTCACCATCATCTCTCTCTCATATTTTGGTTAATAATCAAATAACTGTGCTTCTCCCAGAACATACTACTTAATCAGAGTAATACTCTGAAGATAACTTTCAGAATCCATTACGAAGTTAGTCCATTCTTGGGAAAGGGTTTCAATGGAGACAGCTTCACCGCCATATTCTTTTGGGAGAATGCTGGCTGGAAAGTGTTGTTGGAGAGTAGGAACATAGTTACTCCCATGCATGTGGATCTGCAATAAGAGGAATTGTTTCTACCTTTACTTAATACTATTCAAGAAGACAAAATTCACTCTCAGAGTATTGTACAGTTTAAGTCCTGTTAAGGCAAGTGGCTTAGTTAATAGGGACATTGATGTGTACAGTCGTTCATAATGAGACCACTGACTGCCTGTTTCCTACTAAGCCCAATTCAAGGTGTTGAAAGTGCTGTACTCTACCTATATGCAATGATATTTTTCTAGAAAAAGAGGTACCGGAGCTCACCATGAACTTCTCCCTTGTTCTCTTAGAATGGCAATGGCACCCACCTAAGAGATGCTGGAACTGAGCTCTGGTGAGCTCTGGCTAAAACAAAAGACCTGCCTATATGACTTATGATTGCATATTATTTTTATCTGATGTTTTCAAGTTTTATTATTTGCTTTGTGATACAGATATTTTTATTGAATTATTTTGTAAACCATCCTAGGATCTGAACAGATGAAGTACAAGTCTGTGAGCACTTAGAAAATGATGCTGTGATTACAAAGACCCAGCATAAGTTTCTCAAAAACAAGTAATGCCAAATTAATCTCATTTCTTTTTTCGAGAGAGTTACAAGCTTGGTGGATCATGGAAATGCTGTGGACATAGTGTATCTTGATTTCAGGAAGGGTTTTCACAAAGTCCCCCATTATATTCTTGCAGAGAAGCTAGTAAAATGTGGCCTGGATGAGGTAATTGTTAGGTGGATTTGTAGCTGATTGCTGCTAAAAACTAAAGAATGGTCACTAACAGTTCCTTGTCATTCTGGGGAAAAGTGCTAAGTGGGGTGCTGCAGGGTTCTGTCCTGGGCCGTTGTTGTTCAATGTCCTTATAAGTGAATTTGATGAAGGTATTGGGGTGATGCTCATCAAATTTGCAGATGACACCAAACAGGGAGGTGTAGCCAATGCTACTGAAGACAAAATTGGAATTCAAAATATCCTGACCAGATTGGAGAACTGTGCCCAAACTAAGAAATGAATTTCAATAGGGACAAAGATAAAGTTCTACGCTTAGGCAGGAAGAACCAGCTGCACAAATATAAGATGGGATTGTCAGTACTACATGTGAAAAGGATCTATGGGTCTTAGACCACCATGAGTCAACAGTGTGATGAAGCAGCAAAAAAAGTCAATGGTATTCTAAGCTGCATCAACAGAAGTATACTGATCAAGGGAAATAATAGTCCTGCTCTATTCTGCCTTGGTCAGAGCACACCTAGAGTCCTGTGTCCAGTTCTGGGCATCACAATTTAAGAAGATTATTGACAAGCTGGAACATGTGCAGAGAAGGGCGACCAAGATTATCAAGGGTCTGGAAATCAAGCCTTATGCGGAATGACTGAGGAAATAGTGTATGTTTAGCCTGGCAAAGAGGACACTGAGAGGAGATATTATAACCATCTTCAAATATCTAAATGGGTGTCACATGGAGGATGGAGCAAGCTTGTTTTCTCTTGCTTCAGAAGCTAGGACCTGAACCAATGGATTCAAGTTACAAGAAAGGAGATTTTGACTAAACATCAGGAAGAATTTTGTGACAGTAAGAGCTGTTTGACAGTGGAACAGACTCCCTCGGGAGGTGTTGGACTCTCTTTGGAGGTTTTTAAGCAGAGGTTGGATGGTCATCTGCCATAGTTAAGATTCCTGCATTGCAGGGTGTTGGAATAGATGACCCTAAGGGTCCCTTCCAAGTCTACAATTCTAGGATTCAATGTGGAGCATCTCTACAAGGGCTGTTGTTCTTGTGTAGGCAACCCTTTGGAGACAGTGGGGAATACAGTGTGGCCTACATGGGAAACGTGCATGAAAATAGCTTGAATGGCACCATCTTGTGGCATTTTGAACTATTGTATGAACCCACATTAATGAAATATAAAACTTATAGACCCCAATTGGAATAAAAGAGGTGTAGTCTCTTTTTATTTAAAAAGAAAATGTGTTGGGATAATGTGTGAATTTCATAGAAAAAGAATTAGCATTTACTCACCCGTGCTTTGATCTTTTCTGAGAGGAATGTCTTAATTAGAGCAAAGACTGGGTGAAAGAGCAAAGGCTCATTAACCAAGTGGATTCCACGAACTTTTAATGGAAAGGCATCCTGTGAAGAGAGTGGAGAGAGGCATGATAGAAGACTAGGATCTTCATATTCTAATGCCTGCATTCACATGAGCAGACCTGCCAAAATGTCAGACTACATTTGATTTTAAGCAGAAGTTTTCTGACCATAACCACCCCTGGGTTTTCAAGTACTTAGGACTGCACTTATAAAACAGTCACAATATGCCTATCTCAAAAGAAAGAAAATAAATGTGGGGTTGAGAATATGCAGGAGAATATGGCCCAGTTCAGATGGATATATCTTGCCTTATTAAGCTGAGATATGCCTGTGCCTTGTGCTTAAGCATTCCTTTCTCACGCTGCCCTTCCCTCCTCCCTTCTTGGCATTTCTGGGTTAATTAATAATAGTTTCCTCATTACACCTGAACCACCACAACACTTTCCACTTAAGAGGCAGCAGTGGATCCACATCTCTGCTCAGCCCCACAGCTCCCAGTCAGGAGTTATATTGGTTCCCTAAGAAGGACATGACACACTCTGCCCACTTGACCAAGTGCTAATAATACTAAATATTGGTAGTGGTGGTGTTAGAATACCTCAAGCCATCTAGAACAGCAGAATTAGACTGTATTAAAACACAGGAGCTATCTAATGCTCTTGTTCTCCAAAACCATTGGTACGTGAAAGCCACTATCTGCTTACAGCATAACTACAATTTAGAACCAAAGCTCACTGTGATCGCAGCAGCTATTATCTTGGCAACCGTAGGCGTGATCTGAAATGCATGAGCGAATCTCCATCCTTGAAGATCAAAGATACCCTTGACTCCATTCCGCTGTGTTTCTAGCTCTCTCACAATGAGCTCAGATGTGATAAGACTTAAACGAAACAAATCAAATGCTGTGAATGTCTTTGGGTCCCATTTTCCTAATGACAAAAGAGAGGAGAGAGGGAGATGAATAAAGTAAGCACTTTCCCCCCCAAAAGGCCAATGGAACTAAAATGGCTTAAACGTGGTACTTTGGCTTAAACTGGACAGTGGACTAGGCTCCAAGAATAATGGACAAAATACACCCATTTGCTGATTTCTCACCTGCTTTGAAATGATGTCACTTAAATAAATGCCTAACCCTTCATGGGCTACAAAAATGCTAAGCTGATTTTAACCTTCAGCCCCTTTTCCCTTCTCTCAATTCCTGCTTGCACACAGACCATCCCCACTTCCATGTCTCCTCCAGTGTCCTAATTCAAAGCCCACTTTGTCCATACAACCCATTATTTTTACCTTCATCTCCTTTATTCCTACCTTCTCCTTCCTACAATTCTCCCTTGCACACAGATCCCCCTCCATTTCCGGGCTTCCTCCTGCCTCAGATTCCACAGCCCCCTTTGCACTCACATACCCTGATGCTATATGTTACTGTACCTTAAAGATGAACAGAATCTTAAGAGCAAGTCTGTCAGTTAGCTCGTTCAGTTAGAGAAGGTTCGACTGAGTTGATGGATGTTGTCACCGTATGAGTGTTTGATAATAAAATATTTGTTCTAAATTTCTACATTGAATCTGGAATGTCATGTTGAAGTCAACACATAGCACCAGGAACTAAATACACTGTGTGAAAGTACTGTGAAATATTTGAGGGCTCCACATCCTCTATGTCTCTCGCACAAGGCAGCTGAGGAAAAGAAAAGGGGAAAGAGAAAAGGGAGAGATATTGAGAGGAAAATGCAGGTTTTAAACAAGTGGCAGAGGTTTGAATAAAGAAAGTGGAAGTGGGAGACACTGAGAGAAAAAGTGACAGTTTAAAAGAAGGTTTCAATGCTGCAAGAAGGGAGCTGGGAGCAGCACTTTTTGTGTTTGCTTTTTGGTGTTATTTTCTGTGTACAATTTCTGTGTTGTACCCACCTGTGCTACTTTTGTAAACAACCACGATCACAACAACCCTCCCTTTCCAATCTATTCAGACCCCTCCCACCACTTTCCATTCTTGGAGTCCTTCCTAGCTTCCTGCCATGGCCATTGCTGTTGTGAAACCTGCCTTCTCTTCTGCCTCCTCCACCCTAACTTCATGCAAATCCAGGATTCTGATGAAGTACTACAAATCCACCAGTGGGGGCTGCGAGACGACAGCCTTACATTACAAGAAGTCAGAGGCAGAGCATGCTACTTGCCAGTGTTGCAAAAAGAAAAGCTACTTGCCAATTCTGTAAATGAGAACTTTGCCGCCAGCTGGGTCCCTCTCCTTCAGAACTCCAAGGTAACCAGATTTCATCAGACCAAGGACAGAGAAAGGCCGTACATCTCCAACTATTTCTGGGAATTCAGCTCTCCACTTGTGATAGTTTTTCAATAGCTGGGAAAGAAATAGCAGAAAGAGGGGGAGATAGTAGCGCAAAGCAGTCAGTTGTAGAGTATTCTGTTACAAGATTCTTATGTTGTAAAATATTACTGCCCTTCTCGCTAAGTATATGCATACTTTTATCTCAGTTAATTTCACAAACTGTGTGCAAATATATTTTAACATTTAGGCTGGTTTCCTTTTGTTGAAATTAATCTCCTGTAACACTAGACTTGACTATAGATAGCTTAGTCGATAAGAGTGTGATGCTGATAATGATAAGGTTGCAGGTTTAATCCCTGTGGTGCAATTAGGTAGCAAGGAGTCTGGATTTTAATCCTTACTCAGAGATGAGGCTCACAGGTTAATCCTGTACCATTCAATATACAGCATCTCAAGCTAACCTGCCTCACATGATTGCTGTGAGGGGGGGGGAGCAGGCCCTCGTGTTCATTGCCTTGAACTTGATGGGAGGAAGAACAGTGCACGATTGTGACAGAAAGTATAAGCTTCCAAAACAGGACCAGTATAAGGTTTCCAACCCACCTTCACCATAAAGGGTATATAATCATACAACTGAAAACAAGTAAAACTTGCTTACAAGTATACAATATTAAGAAGCAAAACAATTTCAAATAAAAGCAGCAGAGGCATGGGTCCCACCATTATTAACATGGCCACTTAGGCTGAATCCTGTGCTCACTTACCTTGGAGTAAACCCCACTGGATCCTATTTGCATCTGAGTAAGCATGTAAAGAAATCACTGAAACCAAGCATGTGGGTTGTATCCAAAGAAGACATCCCATGAGTGCAAAGACTTCTGCCTGCACAACGTGACTTCCCTTCCCCTAAATCTCCTCTGGAAGCTTGGGGGAACCCTCAGAAACAGACTGGGAGGTGCAAAAGACAAGGGAGGAAAAGTCCTGTTGTGCAGGTGAAAGTATTCGTGCTGATGGGATGACTTCATTGGATTCAACCCTACATTTTCCCACACGCCACCAATAAACAATGCAGATAGCAACACAGACAGATGGCTCCCTACCCGCAGCCCCAGCCGGTGGCATACGGCCAGCCTGGATACCCGCAGGGCGCCTACCCGGTTGCGGCACCCTACCCACAAGCGGCACCCTACCCTCAAGCACCCTACCCTCAGGCACCCTACCCCCAGGCGCCCTACCCACAAGGGCCCTACCCACAGGGGCCCTACCCACAGGGGCCCTACGCCCAGCCGCATCCGGGAGTCGCCGTGGACCCAGACTCGCCCGTGCACAGCAACTACCATGAGGACGGGCCGCCCTCCTACTATGACAACCCGGATTTCCCCCCCACCAACTGGGAGGACAAGACCATCCGCCAGGCCTTCATTCGCAAGGTGTTCCTGGTGCTGACCATCCAGCTGTCGGTGACCTTTGCCTTTGTGGCCATCTTCACCTTTGTGAAGGGCGTGAAGGGCTTTGTGCGGAAGAATGTCTGGACCTACTACGTCTCCTACGTCTTCTTCTTCATCTCCCTCATCGTCCTCAGCTGCTGTGGGGAGTTCCGGCGCAAGCACCCCTGGAACCTTGTGGCCATGTCCATCCTGACCCTGAGCCTCTCCTACATGGTGGGCATGATTGCCAGCTTCTACGACACGGACGCCGTCATCATGGCCGTGGGCATCACGACCGTCGTCTGCTTCACTGTCGTCATCTTCTCCCTGCAGACCAAGTACGACTTCACCTCGTGCCGAGGGGTGCTGATCGTCTGCCTGGTGGTCCTGTTCATCTTCGCCATCCTTTGCATCTTCATCCGGAACCGCATCCTGCAGATTGTCTATGCCTCCCTGGGCGCCCTCCTCTTCACCTGTTTCCTGGCCATGGACACCCAGATGATAATAGGGAACAAGCAGCTGGCCATCAGCCCGGAGGAATACATCTTTGCAGCCCTCAACCTTTACACGGACATTATCAACATCTTCCTCTACATCCTGGCCATCATTGGGCGCGCCAAGGACTAGGCTGCCCTCTGACCCCTTCAGGGGCTAGTTCCTTCCAAGCCCTGTCTTTTGTTGTGGTTCTCCTCCCTTTTATTCCCACCCCGTGGGGTCTCCCCCGCCCCGGTTTTTGTTGTGTTCCTGCCCGTCCCTTGAGTTTGAGTTCTTTGCCCCTTCCCCCTCCCTGTCTTGTGCTTTTCTGGGGAAGGATACCTGAAAAGAAGGGGGAGTCCAAGGTAGCCAACGGGCCCCCCCTCTCGACCGGGGAGGCAGCACTCACCTCCAGCCTGCCGTACGCTGGTGTCAGTTTTTGGAAAGGAAAGGAAGGGCTCCTCTGCCCTGCGTCTCCCTGGGGCTGTGCAGAGTTCGGAAGAGGATGTAAATATGCTGTGCTTGTCTCTTTTGTATTTTGGTCTAGAAATGCTAATTTAATTTTGAGGAATGTCCTTGTCTTGGGCGTGCCACTCACAGCCGCTTCTTCCCGTGGGTACAGGGCTGTTCTGGGACTCTGGACACACGCAAACCGCCCCCTGCCTCTTGGCTGGCAGCAAGGTTCCCCACCCCCCTTGCCACCTTCCACCCCCACCCCTGAATGATGCTGATACGGGTGCCGCTTCCTGTCCTGCCCAGGCTGGCCTCCCACGTTGCTGGGCTCTCCTGGTCCAGCCACTGTGGGGGCTGAGTGCCTGGATGATGCCCATGTCCCGTTTTTACAAATATCGTCCAGAAAAGTAGGGGTGGCTTCTCCCCTCTAGCTCGGGGGGCAGAGACTGCTCAGCTGCCTTTTCTCAGGCTCCCCTTGGGGCGTGCGGGGAAGACGCCTTCCTTGCTCCTGGCCCTTTTCTACAGAGCTGTGTAGTCTCCTGACCCTTTTTGTCTGGGGACCCTGTACCCCATCCTTCCTTCTCCCCTTCTTCTCCCCCCTCCCTGCCCCCCGCAATCTGACTGGCTTTAGGGGGGCCCTGCACTACTGCATGCTGAGCAGCCACTACTGTGCCCCCAGGGCCAGCCTCTGCACTCAACTGTAAAAATAGGATGTCCTAATAAAAGTGAGAATGATAGCAACACCTTTTTACAGAAAGACTGTCGAGCACTATAGAGATTTTTCAGGTTGCTAGCCTGGTTCAGAGACAATGTTGGTCTTTCTTTTTGGAGGAAAAGAAAACAGATCCTTTCCCCATTGGTACTGTATTCAGAACAAGGTAGAATTCAGGAGCACCACGTACATAACTATTATCCAACCAGAACATGATTTTTACATAAGTCTTGTCTAACAGGAATTTTACTTGGAACAATATTTGCTACTTAATAGGTTACACTTAGTAGGTAAACAGGGAAATATCCATAGTTTATTTTAAGGCTTATCCAGGTAGATGAAGCTACCTTTCAATTACTATTCTTCTGTCAACAATTCATTTCTTTTTCTTTCTCATAAATGCAAAATAATAATACAAGTTTTCTCCTTCATTTTTTGGTCCCATTATCAAATCTGTATAAATTGTCTCATTTTCATTAAGAACAAAGCTTCCAAGGAGTGATTTGTTGATATCTGAATGCACTTGCCCCATGATCAACATGAAGTAAGTCCCTTTGGGCAATCATTCTGGAATATGGAGCAGTTTTTCATACCTTCAGAACTATGTTAAGTAGCTAAATGTGCTAAACAAAGAAGCTAAATGTACAACTGTGAAGAAGCACCTGGAAAGAATGAATAATAATAATAATAATAATAATAATAATAATAATAATTTTTATTTATATCCCGCCCTCCCCAGCCGAAGCTGGGCTCAGGGCGGCTAACAACAATCAAAATAGCCCGACATTCTAAAAACATTCATTATAAAATTAATTAAATCAAATTAAAATCAAATTAATGGCAACCATCAAGCAAAATTCTGTGCAGATTGCCAGAGGAGGGGAAGAAATGAGCCAAGCTTCTCTTTTAATAGAGAAATCCAGCATCTTCTTTCTGCACTCTCACCTAATGAATACATTTGGGCAGATGATCTTATCTTGCATTCATGTCAGTGTACGTACAACCTATAATTTCATTCGAGTTTTGTCTTTCATTGTTCTGATCAGTATCTGCATGTTTCCTGAACACGCATACTTCTTATATTGGGACTTTGCTTATGGATTTTCACATTTGTACCAATGCACCCACTAACAAATCTGATTCAGTTTACTCAGGTCATCTGTAGAGTGATCTCATGATCTTAGCCATCAACACAGTTATTCTAAGGCATTTTCATTTACCAATTAAAGCAGGAATGACAAGTACCCAGGGCTCAAAAGATAAATTAATGTATAGCTTTAAAGGTTTATGTGCTTCTCATATGAGAAATGATTTATCCACATTAATCATCCTTAGGCTTTCAACCGGAGATATTTGGGTTGGAAAAAGTCTAGCCTCACAGTTTGTTCCCAAATGCTGGAGAAATTCTTATGAACTTTGAATGGATATTTCCCAATGCTTAATTCTTAGCCTTTCCCCCATTTTCAACAGGATGCTTGTTTTTCCAATAACACTTTATGTTGTGACATAATCCTCCTTATTCCTTATTTTGAATAACATTTATGGCAAAGGAAACAGATTTGTTAAGTTTAATAAACAAGCGTTCATAGTTTGGGACTGTATTAAACAAACACCATGATTCCTTATCTCTGGATTGTGCCGAGCTCCTAAATAAGGAATACTGTATCACACTGAACTAAGATTGTGTATACATTGCAGGGGTACCATGACCTAAGCCAGTGATGGCCAAACCTGGACCTCCAGCTGTTTTGGGACTACAACTCCCATCATCCCTAGCTAACAGGACCAGAGGTCAGGGATGATGGGAATTGTAGTCCCAAAACAGCTGGAGGGCCAAGTTTGGCCATCACTGACCTAAGCCATATCTTCCCAAGTGCTTCCACTGATGTGAAGTACCTTGAATGAAGCAGTGTGGGAAGGAGACTGATCAGTCAGATCAGGAGGAACCCTTGTGGACTATTAATGGCAAGAGGAAGGCATAAAAGGAAGGGTCAAAAGGTAGGAAATGTGCACAACAGGGGATGGAGTTGGTGGGAGGATGTGGTCTAACAGGAGACAGAGCCAAAAGAAGAAAAGGCTGACAACTGGTATTGGCAGCAGAGTTGTACCAAGGCTTAAGTCAGCCAAGCCCACACAAGCAGCTGTTGTGAGAAGCCCAGACCCTACCTGGAAGTATGTACTTGGAGCAGAAATCTAGAAACAGATTGCCCTGGGAGATTAAGAGAGCAGAGAAGTTCTTATGTCTATTTCACCAGGCATATTCATGGAGCACTTATTCATTCATTTATACAGTTGTTTTGCACAAAACTGCTTTTGTACAAAACTGCTGCATTAAAAATAAATTTGACCTATTTACAATTACCCTATTTGCAATGGTTACTGTCATCTATCTATAGGGCTAATTGGTATTTCAAGATTCCTTACTAGCCATCCTTTCTTGAAGGCAGTATTTCTTCTTTTCCACCTTTGACACTGAGGGTTGTCTCTGAGTAATTTCACTCACTTGAAGTTGTTTTCTAATGTTGTTAATATCTATCTATCTATCTATCTATCTATCTATCTATCTATCTATCTATCTATCTATGCAAAGCATGGGTACTATGAATGTTGCCTTTCTCAATTACAAACCGTTTCTATCTTTGCCATTTCTCAACTACTCAGAGGAAAGCTCCTAGATACAATAGTGATAATAGATTTTCTGTCACAGCCACAGCAGTAAAGAATGCTGGCACACTTGCGTGCATTATTGATCCAGTGAGGAGTTAGGCTGGAGACCAAATGTATCACTTTGCTAGGCTCCCCATAACAGTATGAATAAATGTTGCCATTTGTAGCAAAGTATTAGTTGTAGCGCTTGTTCTATTCTGACTGTGAATCAATAACTGCACAAAAGGAGTGCAAGGCAAGCAACTAACATTAACTGACTCAGGAGTGAGTATAATCACCTTGATATAATTCAAGTGGTGCAACCGTGTGGTTTTTCCTCCTCTATCATATAACCAAAGCACACACCCCAAATGAGTAGATAATTGTGGATGCTGGAGACTCCCAAGGCTTTAAAAACAACAACAACAACACTGTTGGGAGGATGCCAACAGTTCTATGCTCCCCATCAGACCAACTTCATATAACTCAAAAATTGTGCTTGCTTGCAAGGTTTTAGGTTACCAGAGATCTTTAAGTTGCCAAGGATATGAGACTAGTGCACAGGAGATGTTTTTTCTGATAGGCCACTGGAAGTAAAGGTGGTCAGTAGATGGCCTTCCAGCTGCTTCTCTAGCCCACAATGCATCAACAAACACCCTCATCCTGGACCACTTCCATCAAAGACTTATGGGAGATAAGTTGACAGCAAGTTTCTTCCTGCAAGCACCAGTAAGGGTCTGGATGATGAAGAAGAATAAATGAGAGGTGGTGGGATGAAAGAGAGGTCACATGGGTTTGAGGGGCAGGAGAACAGAGAGGAAAAGCTATGGGAGTACTCATTTCCCTTCTGTACTCCTCTTGTGAGTATATGCATGCACACACGTGAGGAGAAATGCATTTGTGTGTGTGTGTGTGTGTGTGTGTGAAAGGAAGTGTAAAGGTGGGGCTCCATACCGATTAAATGAAAGTTTTATATGCATGCTAAAATGTGGGAGAAATGTTTGCATGTGTGCTATGAGGTTTTCTGCAATCAAGCCATATATAAATTTTATGAAATAAAATAAATCAACACACGGGCATCTGTGAATCAGCAAGAGCCCTCTTCCTTCCTGTGCCCTAATTTCCTGTACATTTTTCCTAGAATGAAAGAGAATCAGGTAGCCTTGTATTATTGACGTATGAATGGCACTGCAAACAGACATCAAATAAACTTTGTGCTTTTATATTACTAGAAATGCAGACATATTTATATTATCATCAGAAGCTTAAAAGACAATACAGTGGTACCTCTGGTTAGGTACTTAATTCGTTCCGGAGGTCCGTTCTTAACCTGAAACTGTTCTTAACCTGAAGCACCACTTTAGCTAATGGGGCCTCCCACTGCTGCCGCGCCACCGAAGCACGATTTCTGTTCTCATCCTGAAGCAAAGTTCTTAACCTGAGGTACTATTTCTGGGTTAGCAGAGTCTGTAACCTGAAGCGTATGTAACCCGAGGTACCACTGTATGGGTTTTCAGCTGAGCCATTCAGATCCTATATCCTTCTTCTGAGGATATGTTCAGCTAGCCACTTCATGGTCTGAAGATCACTGTTTCCTTTCTTTTTGCTTTCCTCTGTGCCTTACCCACTTAAAAAGATACACAAACATATTTATTCCTTCTTCAGTCGTCCGTTAGCATACATGGCATTAACATGAGTCTATGTTTTATTCATGACAAAGGGAGGTGCTTAATCTCCTAAATAATCCCTGAAAATTTGTCTTTCTTTTAACAGCAGAGAAAGGGCTGTAATTCAGTGGTAGAGTATCAGTGCTGCACACCCCAAGGTCCAAGGTCCAATCCTCAGCATATCCAGGTGGCTCTGGCATAGATCCCAATCTGAAACCTGAAAAACTGCTGCTAATCAGTGAAAATAATACTGAGCTAGGCACTGTAGTAGATAATGGTCTGACTCAATAGAAGACCATCCTATGTTACTATTCTTTGCACCAACCAAGAACCTGCAACTGCACAAACCAGCATGCAACGTGTGTGTGTGTGTGTGTGGAATTAGTTTTCCAATATACCCCCAATAATAGCCAAATTATAACAATAACAATTAATCCCCAAATTATACAATTATCAAAATGGCAGTCAACTTCCAATTAATACATTTTAGTTAAAGTGGCTCCCTGCATGGTGGTTTGG